ACAAAATAATACAAAAAGTATAACCAGTCTTAACAATAATTCCCCAATCAGTGTTGCAAACACTGGCCCCGAGAATAACAAGACAATAATCAATATCTATGAACTACAGGTTTGCTCTAGCACTGCACCACAAGTTTTTTCCTGTGGCTGTGGCTCGAAAGGGGCTCATGAATATTTCGGTTCGCTTCGGTTCGGTTCGCTTCGGTTCGCTTCGCTTCGGTTCGGTTCGCTTCGGTTCGGTTCGCTTCGTTCGCTTCGCGTCGCTTCGGTTCGCTTCGGTTCGCTTCGCTTCGGTTCGCTTCGGTTCGCTTCGCTTCGCTTCGGTTCGCTTCGGTTCGCTTCGCTTCGGTTCGCTTCGCTTCGGTTCGGTTCGCTTCGGTTCGGTTCGCTTCGCTCCAGTTCGCTTCGCTTCAGTTCGCTTCGCTTCGGTTCGCTTCGCTTCGGTTCGGTTCGCTTCGGTTCGCTTCGGTTCGCTTCGGTTCGCTTCGCTTCGGTTCGCTTCGGTTCGGTTCGCTTCGGTTCGGTTCGCTTCGGTTCGTTCGCTTCGGTTCGGTTCGCTTCGGTTCGCTTCGCTTCGGTTCGCTTCGCTTCGGTTCGCTTCGCTTCGGTTCGCTTCGGTTCGGTTCGCTTCGCTTCGGTTCGGTTCGCTTCGGTTCGGTTCGCTTCGGTTCGGTTCGCTTCGGTTCGCTTCGCTTCGGTTCGCTTTGCTTCGGTTCGCTTCGGTTCGGTTCGCTTCGGTTCGCTTCGGTTCGCTTCGGTTCGCTTCGGTTCGGTTCACTTTCGGTTCGCTTCGCTTCGCTTCGGTTCGCTTCGCTTCGGTTCGCTTCGCTTCGGTTCGCTTCGCTTCGCTTCGGTTCGGTTCGCTTCTTCGCTTCGCTTCGCTTCGGTTCGCTTCGCTTCGGTTCGCTTCGCTTCGGTTCGTTTCGCTTCGGTTCGCTTCGCTCCGCTTCGGTTCGCTTCGCTTCAGTTCGCTTCGCTTCGGTTCGCTTCGCGTTCGCTTCGCTTCGCTTCAGTTCGCTTCGCTTCGGTTCGGTTCGCTTCGCTTCGCTTCGGTTCGCTTCGCTTTGGTTCGGTTCGCTTCGGTTCGCTTCGGCTTCGGTTCGCTTCGCTTCGGTTCGGTTCGCTTCGGTTCGGTTCGCTTCGCTTCGGTTCGCTTCGCTTCGGTTCGCTTCGCTTCGGTTCGCTTCGGTTCGGTTCGCTTCGGTTCGGTTCGCTTCGGTTCGCTTCGCTTCGGTTCGCTTCGCTTCGGTTCGCTTCGCTTCGGTTCCCTTCGCTTCGGTTCGCTTTCACAGATGCTCACGAAACGTACTCTAATCTGCTGAATATTGCGATCCCCGAACGAGTCAACCTACTTACGTCATTTTGTTATTTGCATGTCGGGGTATTCATTCTCCCACATGGATCGCATTAAGCAAACGCTCACGAAATGAGCTCTCTTTCCCTCTCCCTGCCTTTGTTTGGATCGTTTTTTTTCTAAAGCAAAATTGATTTTTATTATTAGGATGTTAATTCAAAACAACCAAATGAATAAAAATGGACAGTGAATGAAAGTTTGTGAAAACCTAGGCAGCTACAATAGCACCGATGATTAGCACCGACTTGTCACTGGCCAAACATGGCGGCAAATGTCATTCGTCGAATGAGTAGGCAGGCGTTCTTTCCGTGTCATGTTTGCTCTAAGCATTGCACAAAGATGGCGGCAAATGTCATTCGTCGAAAGAGTAGGCAGCCGCCTTTCCCTGTCATGTAGATTCTATCGCTGGACACAAACATGGCGGCAAATGTCATTCGTCGAATGTTGTTATTTTTTTTCTTTTGAAATAGTTTATTTAAACAAAATAATACAAAAAGTATAACCAGTCTTAACAATAATTCCCCAATCAGTGTTTGCAAACACTGGCCCCGAGAATAACAAGACAATAATCAATATCTATGAACTACAGGTTTGCTCTAGCACTGCACCACAAGTTTTTTCCTGTGGCTGTGGCTCGAAAGGGGCTCATGAATATTTCGGTTCGCTTCGGTTCGGTTCGCTTCGGTTCGGTTCGCTTCGGTTCGCTTCGGTTCGTTCGGTTCGCTTCGGTTCGCTTCGCTTCGGTTCGGTTCGCTTCGGTTCGGTTCGCTTCCCTTCGGTTCGCTTCGCTTCGGTTCGCTTCGCTTCGGTTCGCTTCGCTTCGGTTCGCTTCGCTTCGGTTCGCTTCGCTTCGCTTCGGTTCGCTTCGCTTCGCTTCGCTTCGCTTCGGTTCGCTTCGCTTCGCTTCGGTTCGCTTCGCTTCGCTTCGGTTCGCTTCGCTTCGCTTCGCTTCGCTTCGCTTCGCTTCGCTTCGGTTCGCTTCGGTTCGCTTCGCTCCGGTTCGCTTCGCTTCAGTTCGCTTCGCTTCGCTTCAGTTCGCTTCGCTTCGGTTCGCTTGGCTTCGCTTCGGTTCGCTTCGGTTCGCTTCGCTTCGGTTCGGTTCGCTTCGGTTCGGTTCGCTTCGCTCCGGTTCGCTTCGCTTCAGTTTGCTTCGCTTCAGTTCGCTTCGCTTCGGTTCGCTTCGCTTCGCTTCGCTTCGGTTCGCTTAGGTTCGGTTCGCTTCGGTTCGGTTCGCTTCGGTTCGCTTCGGTTCGGTTCGCTTCGGTTCGGTTCGCTTCGGTTCGGTTCGCTTCGGTTCGGTTCGCTTCGTTTCGCTTCGCTTCGCTTCGGTTCGCTTCGGTTCGGTTCGGTTCGGTTCGCTTCGGTTCGCTTCGCTTCGGTTCGCTTCGCTTCGGTTCGCTTCGCTTCGGTTCGCTTCGCTTCGCTTCGGTTCGGTTCGCCTCGGTTCGGTTCGCTTCGGTTCGGTTCGCTTCGGTTCGCTTCGGTTCGCTCCGCTTCGGTTCGCTTCGCTTCGCTTCGGTTCGGTTCGCTTAGGTTCGGTTCGCTTCGGTTCGGTTCGCTTCGGTTCGCTTCGGTTCGGTTCGCTTCGGTTCGGTTCGCTTCGGTTCGGTTCGCTTCGTTTCGCTTCGCTTCGGTTCGCTTCGCTTCGGTTCGCTTCGGTTCGGTTCGGTTCGCTTCGGTTCGCTTCGCTTCGGTTCGCTTCGCTTCGGTTCGCTTCGCTTCGGTTCGCTTTCACAGATGCTCACGAAACGTACTCTAATCCGCTGAATATTGCGATCCCCGAACGAGTCAACCTACTTGACGTCATTTTGTTATTTGCATGTCGGGGTATTTCATTCTCCCACATGGATCGCAGCTGTGTGGAACGTGATTAAATCCAATGGTGTGCAATCATCAAAAGCACATTCGTCTACTCTCAGCGCGAATGATTTAAACTCTTTCTTCGTCAGCATTGCTGATACCATTATTGCTGAAATTCCAGCTACCCAGTCGAACTTTAAAGATTTTATACAGACTAGTGATACACTACATTTCAACTTTCGAACTGTTTCATTCAATGATGTTCGAGACGCAATCAAAAGCTTAAAGAATTCTAAAAGTAAAGATCCATATGACATCGATGTTAAAATTATGAAGACCTTAAATAACTTGTTAGTATATCCTATAACAAAATTGATAAACATGTGTATAGAAAATAATGTCTTTCCTGCCTTATTGAAACTTGCAAAGATTGTGCCACTCTTCAAGAAAGGCTGTGAGAATGATCCATGTAATTTCAGACCCATCTCTATAATACCAATTATAGCAAAAATTTTCGAAATTCTTCTGAAGAATCAGATATGTGAATACTTCGAAGGTAACAATTTATTCTGTAACAACCAGTTTGGATACCGTACCAACAGATCAACGAAAGCAGCAATAAACAATTTTATCAGTTTCATCAACAAATGTCTGGAAGATAACATGTTTGCCCTCGCTAACTTCTATGATCTTACAAAAGCATTTGATTGTGTCCAACATCACATTTTGATTCAAAAGTTGTCGCTGTATGGTTTTAGTAATAATAGCCTGTCCTTAATTGCGTCTTATTTATCAGATAGAAGACAGTATGTTAGTTTTCAAAATTGTTTATCCAACAATGTGCATATTAAGCACGGAGTTCCCCAAGGAAGTGTCTTGGGACCGATTCTTTTTTTGATCTACATCAATGATCTGCCAAACTGTAGCATCAATCAGTATATATTATTTGCGGATGACACAACATCAATATCCTCCAATAGTAACTTTGATCATGTATTGCTCGATTCTCAGCAGCATTTTGACAACATTCAAAACTGGTTTAATGCCAACAGTTTGTCAATCAACATAGCGAAAACTCAATCTCTTCTACTCAGTACTCGTCCACATAGAAGTGATTTAGTAGAGCCCGTGAAATTTCTTGGAGTGATTATTGATGCAAGCTTAACTTGGGAATCACACATCACTTCTTTATCAAAGAAGTTATCTAAAATAACATATATGATACGTAGTTTAAATACCTACGTAACAAAATCGACTTTAATGACAGCCTATTATGCTTACTTCCAATCTAACTTGCAATACTGCATACTGATTTGGGGACATTCATGTCATGTATCGAAGGTGTTTGCTGTTCAGAGACGATGCTTGAGAATAATAGCAAACTTATATTTCAGACAGTGTTGCAAGACGACATTTATCGACCTAAAAATTTTAACTGTGCCATGCATATATATACTGGAATGTCTGATCCACGTTAAAAATAATTACGATGATTACAGAACTCCGAAAGAGATTCACAAATATAACACAAGGTTCAACAATGAATTAATACCAGAGTACACAAGACTTTCAAAAACTAGACACGGAAGTAATTATTTCGGTGTGAAATTTTTTAATGCGCTGCCCAAGTTTTGTCAAACACTCAACTCAACCATTTTTAAAGCAACTGTGAAAAGATATTTAGTGACGAAAGCTTTTTACAGCATAGATGAGTTTTTAAATAATGATTTTACCGACTTTGTTCCATAATTGTTGACCGTTTATTACTTTGTTTTCGTTTGTTTTTTTTATGTGTTATTTTTGTATTATATTTTATCGTTCTCCAGACGTGTGTAAGGACATTTGAGTACAAACATGAAAAAATGATTAGTATTTCATAATTTTTTAACCATCTTATTTTATTGTTCCTCTAAATTTTAAAATAGTTTTATCAAGTTTTTTTTTACCTTTTATTGCCACTTTGTGTTTTACGTTTGTCTTATTTTCGTATTGTTTGTTACTTTTACTTACTCTTTTATGTTCTACTTTAAATGACCTGTGCAAACACATTTTTGTGTAATAGTACCAATAAATTATTATTATTATTATTATTATTATTATTATAATACTTTTTTGCTTTTTCTTATGATTTATGTTTGACCTTACTTGGCAAGACCTCTTATGAATTTTGAAAAAGTATCACAGAATCACCTGTTTATTTCATATTGTGAATTGTGTAATATTTGCAGCACATACCAAAATTTCAAAGAAATAGCCTTTTTGCCCTCTCAGTAATCATACTTAATAAAATAACCGATCTCCTCCAACTTTTGCCTGCAGTTTATATAACATACATAATAATAAAGACTAGCATTTTTAATCTATAATGCAATATGGCAAAATTTTTAAAATTTCACCATTATAGGAGTGCGTCGCAATGACATCGTGCCACTCCCTAAAACACCTAGTATCACTATCATCACCTGTCGTCCACTCCTCCTCAACATCTTCTTTCTTGACTACCACACCACTATCCTCACCTCCACCTGTATCACCCTTTTCTGAAAAACTATACTTTTTGAAATTCTCACTGGCGAAGCACTTCGTCTCTCTCGGTAGGTACTCCCTAGTCACGTTAGGCACTACGTTCGCATATAGACCATTATCCAGCATCTGGGGCTCCTCCTTGGGAGTAGACAAACTCCAGTTGCCGTTCAGGTTCGGTATGTTAACAGCGTGCAACCGACGGGCCTGCTCCTCGGTGACGTGATCCAGGTGGTACTTTTGATGCAGATGTTCGCGCGCCGGACAGTTCCCGTCTTCGAGGAATTCGTACCTGCGCTCGAGCATCACAGGTTCCGTGTTCTCTTCCACCGAAAAATCGGATTTCGTTTCTTTCAGGATACACGTACAGTGCACCTGCGGGATAAAGGGAATAATAGTCGAGCAAGTTCGCAAACGGTCAAGATGCTACTGAACTTACATTCTTTGACAACTCCTTAGTTATAAAATTGAACATCGAAAAACGATATCCAAACGATGGAAAAAATGGTTTGTAAAATTATTACACTCACCTCATCCTCATCTTCTAATAAGACAGACTTGTCGATGGGTGGCAATAACGCCAAGGCCTCTTCCACACATAGAGAAGTGATAATGTTCACATTTTCAGTCTCTTTACTCTCCGTTTCTTCATTTATCTCTTTCTTCACATTCTCGGGCTCCTCGTCAACTACGTTTATATCATCATCTTCTTCATCATCATCCTTCATAAAAAACAAATGGCATCAGTAATATTGTAATTGTATTGGCATTACATTTTTTGAGTAATGTGGTGTATTTACTAACCTCTTCATCTTCTTCCTCTTTCTTCAACAGCAAACTCTTGTCATTGATCACGGAGCCCGATTCGATGACCCGCTCGTTCCTCTCCGCCTTAAGCTTGCGCGAGTTCTTACTCCTGGTCCCACTAGTATTCAACTGTTGATCAATCATGGAAACGCGCTCAGTCAGCTTGGCAGCCTTCTCCATCAGATCTTCCTTTGGCTTCGTCGATATGGAATTCACAACAGGGTTTGAGCTTTTGTTCTGCAAGCTGGCTATCAACTCTTGAGTGGTCTTCACCTTTGGAAAAGACAACATTATTATACAACATAGTGCCTGCAAATAATACAGAGTATAGTATCAGCAATCTATGGTAACATGCAAAGTCCAGAAAACCTATGCTTGAAAATGAGAGTAGAAGTGGAACGTGGTTCTCCTGCCTTTCATGAGCACTGATAAAATACTCATCGTCAAGAGTCATTCTTAGGAGAAAGTAGATTTCAAGTGTTGCCCCAGCACCCACGAGCAGCAGTTATTGAAAACATAATATTTTGAACAATATATATAAAATCATGCAAATAATAAGACATTTCTGGCAATGCTTGTTCAAAAACATACCTTAGAGTTGCCCCGGGACACAGCCAACTTGTTCGTGAACGAAGTTTCCGCCTCGTCAATAAGATTCTTATGATTCTTCGAGCCTTTTTTCCTCCCCCGTTTTTTGGGCATTTGTTGATCTAATGGTGGATCGCCTTTCTCCGGCAAACTCGAATTCGAATCTGAATTTATAACAATCACTTCTCTTTCTTTTGCCTGCTGCTGCAATTTTGGTTCCATCTGCTGGTGTTGCTGTTTCATAGCTATCACATCTTTGAAGCTCGAATTGGAGTTATCTGAGAAATCGAGCTCTGGGATGCCCCCGTTCAACTTAGGCCTTTTTAGGGCTACCGCATTGAGATCGGGAGGCTCTTTGGCCGGCCGTTTTTTCGACGCCTTGTATTGGTTGAGGTTGACATCCTCCTGCGTTGCCAAAGGGGGACTCGTGGTTTGCTTTATCTGTCCGTTTGACTCAGGCAAAACGGCGTTCCGCCATTTTTTCACCAGTTCTTTTGCTCTTTTGGACAGTGCTTCATTTGTGGTTTTCTTCCGTAGTTCATTTATGTATTTGCCCAATCTGGTGGTCTGTGGAAACAGAAATAAGTGTTTGAAGACAAAGCATTCATCTTCAATGTTATTATATATATTATATAATGTGTCGTGTCTACATAGCTGCGAAATAGAATTTATTAATTTTTCCATTATAAGAGTGGTAGCATTACTTGACGATGACATTACGACGTTTATAAATACACCTTAAAACCCTGAAGAGATCCACATTCTCAATAAACATTTAAATTGTCAAGATTCCTTTGTGACTGTGATTTATTCAAATAACTAGTAATGTGAATGTTGCTCCTGCAGAGGCACTGTTCTCATGAACGAAACCAAGTTTTCTAGAACAATTTTTTCCCAATAAATGCACCAGTACTTTCTGCTTTTACACACAATCGAAAAAATAGGTTTACAGCTTGGAAAATTAAAAGCTTATAAACATTCTGATTTTCTGCCTGTGCCAATGTTTTGCACTAACCGCTGGCACGGGAAAATAAAAATAAAATCCACTAGACTGCTTCATCTGTATACCCTCAAAATGTTGAGTAAAATGTAGAAAGCACTAAAAATGACTATCGCAAAAAAATGTACTTATGCAAACTAAAAAATCTTTCTTGATCTAGAGCAAATGTTATGTATTTCAATGCATTGAACACAAATCTGAAGTTGATTTAGCTTGTAGACCCTCCAAGTTTCGAGTAAGCTTCAAAAATTGCCAAAAATCGCTAAACATTGCAAAAATTGCAGTTATCCAAACAAAATTCTAAATCAGGTGTATATTTTACGTATTTCGAAGCGCTAAAGCCAAAACTGGAGCCAATTTAGTTAGATAGCAATGCGATTTTTGAGTAAATTGCCAAAAACTGCTTCAATTCGCCGCCACATTGTGAAAAATGCCAATCATGAAAGAAACAATCTGCCATCATGTTGACGTGCCCCTTCCTAGATGCTGATTCTCCATTTTACTTATGTCTTGGTGAAATTGTTCTCCTTGTTCTTCACTATAGTCTTCAAGATTTCAAGGAAAGTACTCAAAGTAAGGGAGAGATTGTTGACAGATCTATCGCTTGTTCCTGTAACCAGGGCACCATTACTTGGTAACAGTGGGCAACAGCACCAGTGGGTTAATGGCGGATATGACGTCATGACAGGCATAAGCGCAACATACAAAAATATACAGTAGATCTAGTTCAAAAAAAAAATTAGTTTCATAAGTGCAATTTTGCGGTTTTTGCTATATACCTGAAATTTTAAGGGTCTATGAGCTAAATCACACACAAGATTTGTATAATTTTTGCGATTTTTAGCCACTTTTACCAGTTTTTTACAATTTACTCAAGAGTTTGAAGGTGTACAGTTCATATGGACCTTAGATTCTGATTTAGCATATCAAAATACATAAATCTAGGTCAGTCTAGTTAAATGTATAGATCATTTTAGTATTTTTCAATGCTAGTGTAATCTATCTAGACTATCTTTGACCATCTACCCCATAACTTTTATTTGACTTTGATTTTTACGGAAGTTAATTCTGTATGTTGAAAAAATTGAAAGGTATAGAACAACTTAAAATCTAAGTGGCAAAAGTCCTACTATATTTTTAAGATCTCTAGTATGGACAAATTTTTCCACATTACAATAACATTCATCACTACCACAAACATACTGAGCCCAATTTGCATTTAGCCGACATGCTTATTACATTTATCAAATCAGTAAGGGGTGGTTATTCATTCCTATAGACCAGAAATAGTACTACATGAGCACCCATATAGCAAAATCCAGGGGGCGGCATGTTTTGTGCAAGATTAAAAATGCTCAGAACTAGCCAACCCATTGGTGACAACTATTCAAAATGGTAGCAGAAATAACAGCTTCTATGTTGGGATGTTTTGAAGAGCAAAAAAAACTCACACGTCACTTCTTACCCAAGGATTAACTAAATGCAATTTTAAGAGAAATGAGAATGATTATATACTTTTTTTTTCAAACCTCTGTCTGTCTTAGCTTTGCAATGAGTAAATTACCTGTTGAGTTACTGATAACCCTCAACTCTGATGATGAGATGTTGAATACAGAGCTTAAGAGAAAACAGACATGAAATTCAAGAAGTCATCATACTACTGTAGTAAAGTGTGCACTATTGAAAATTTATCATGAGTACATTAAACCAAATAAAACACATCTGATAAAAAAATTTCACAACAATAGAATAGCAAATAATGGTCTTGTAATCAAACAACGAAGAGATAAAAGAGAGGTAGAATTATGAATCATATTTAAATGGCATCATAAGTACACAAACAGCTGTGTACCTCAACAGTTTAAATGTTGAATTCTTGAGTAGCACATTAACTGTGTTGTGTTATAACCTCTCAACATATTGTGCAATAGCATATTAAATAATGAATTTTATAGAATAGTCTTTCAATAAAACAATACACATTACAATATAATAATGGAATAACAAACTTTTTGGTAAAAACTAGTATGAAACAGCTGACCTAAATAAACAATGAATCTTTTTGTATGAATTTAGGTCTGATAAAATTTGCGAATTATTAAAATCTCGATACTGATTGTCTTTTCTATTGGCAATGATCTTCATAGGCCATTAGTCTTGCTACCCAGATAAAGTTGAAACATAAAATAAAGAGGGAACAAAATGGTGTTAGAAAAACTATGCTAGTATGATACAGCTACAAGACATAAATCTACAAATACTAACAAGAACTGTTTTGCATATAGATTTGATTCTTCAAATGTTGCTATTTAAGGCTATTTGCAACTTGAACCTGTATTACTCATCATGCATTATACCTCTTTAACAGATATTGAGCATGCTTCAAACCATATTAGGTAAATCGCAACATGCAAATATTCTGTACACAATAAAAACAACATTTATATAGTACTCAAAATACTATCTTACTATGAACTATGATGGCACTTTGTTTATTTCTCACTTATAATTTTTTTTTCGAGATTGTGATGCTTCAAGATTGATATGCCCTCAAGATTTCCCATTTCTTGAAAGTATGTACAATGTTCTTATAATCAACTGTCAATTTGTTAAATCAATAGTATCCTCATACAACTGGACAACAACAAATCTACACCGCACATCCAAAAAAGCATATGTAAATAGGTGGACAGGGGATTGAAACAGTATGTAAATGCATTTATGTTATTTCTGCAAAAGATTTTCAAATTTCAAACACCATAAGTTCATGCATAATCAAGACAAATATCTAGAGGGTTCCAATTTGAGTTTTAAAATGTAGCAATAAAAAGGCACTAGTATAAATAGACCAGCTATTAGTTAGAATATGTTTTATTTACCTCCAGTAACTCTTTGGTAATAGCCACTTTTTCCAACTGCGATATAATTTCGACGACCGCCGGCATATCGATGACCTTAAAAATATTCGAAAATTAGTAAAGAATCATTTGTCAACGTGTGGGAACACCCCATGTTGATGTACTGAACTGCACTCCCAAAAAGCCACTGTTCTAATTTATATTTTGGGCTCAACTTTTCCACGTGCACAAGAGAATATCCATTACAGCCGTTTTGCAAGAAATCTCTGGTTTTCCGTGGTGGAAAATCCATATTTTCGACACACTCCTATGTCTTCTTATGTAAAACAAGCACTTTGACGTTGCGAAATATAACTGGTTAAAACACAAAATTTCTCATTTTTATCCAAATTCACAGATAAATTCTGTTGAAATAGAAGAAATTAACCGATAATATTGTATTTTCAACGTTTATTTTGTCACTTTTAGGAGAACGAGTACAGTACAGTCCACCTGGTTTATTAGAACTTCAATGGTATACACGAAATTCACGATTTATCCATCAAATCTCGATTTTCCTTACATTATAATTGCTATCCAATGATCGTAGTAGTTTCTGCGTTAATTCTATTACGTTATTCTGCATTTAAAGTCGGTTTGTAACGTGAAAACCGAATATACTTTGATAGAACTTTTCGCAGCTCTTCTCGACAGCAATGGCGCACGTACATTGCGCTTTGTGCAGTTCTTGGGTCCGCACTGTGAAACGAGAAACATGGAGCACCCGAAACGACTGAGTGGGGATCGGCCGAACGAATCCCGAGAAGATCTGCGCGTGCCCCTACATTTTTACGTCATCAAACACAACGGCGCAAAATTCCCCTAGATGACACATTCATTTTTTCTCCCTTCTCTTTTGAAGACTTTTTGTTGAACCGAAATACGCCATAATTTGGAAGAATGCCGAAATGTAGAACATGCAAGGTGAAGGATCATGTATCATTCTATTGTATTCATACAGAGTTTGGTCAATTTCAAGTTCAGATATCTTTATTTGAGACTTAATTCGTGGTGTGTCCTTGTTCCGTCAATACGTGCAGCGTTCTGGCTTTCTAGAAATTTATTCATTCTAATATTTGCAGTATTGGAACTTCGACGCCGGGATATTTAAATTTCAGCATAGTTAAATTTAGAGATGGATTAAATTAACGTTGATGTTCAAAAACATACTTCTGTGCGAAATAAATAAAGGCATGGATTATAATGTAAAAAAATTGAGATCCTAGGGTGTTGGCTGGAGGGTAATTATGAAAAAGTAGGGGAAGGTCTAAAGGGTGGGGATAGGGAAGGCCAAATTATTGAAAGTAGGTAGGATGATATTTTAAACAAACTAACAAACCATTCTGATCGATACAAATAGACTATAAAACGACATGAATTGATAATATTTAACTAATGATTAAAATATTCAACAACACAATTTTTTACTGGGCCGTTACGAAGTTTACTTTCTGTAATACCTGAAGTTAAGATAACGCTCGGTAGATGGCGATAAGAACACTCAGCGTTTGGTCAGCAGTCCAATTCTATGCATCGATGAAGTCATGAATCATACGTGTAGAGATGGGATATGGATATGAGAATTGCCACTAGGCAACTATAGAAGGGGTATGCAATATTTATTTCCTACATTGTTGAGATGCCGAGCTCAGCTGATCAAATTGAAATGTCGAAGTTATTGTTTCTATTGTATTCATACACAGCTAGGACAAGTTCAGGTTTAGTTATCTTTATTTGAGACTTAATTTGTGGTGTGTCTTAGTTCTGTCAATACATGCAGCGTTTTGGATTTTTAGAAATCTATCACTCTATTTGAAGATTCAAACTTCGACGCCGGGATATTTAAATTTCACCATAGTTAAATTTAGAGATGGATTAAATCAATGTTGATTTTCAAAATCATACTTCTATAATTTGAAAAAATTGAGATCCTAGGGTGTTGGCAGGAGGGTAATTATGAAAAAGTAGGGGAAGTGCTAAAGGGTGTGGGGACAGGGAAGGCCAAATGATTGAAAGTAGGTGATGATATTTTAATCAAACTAACAAACCGTTCTGATTGATACAAATAGACTATAAAACGAGATGAACTGATAACATATAAGTAATGATTAAAATATTCAACAATACACTTTTTTACTGGGCCGTCGCGAAGTTTACTTTAATACCATTAATCAGTGTCTGGTCAGCAGTCCAATTCTATGCCTAGATGAAATCATGAATCATACGTGTAGAGATGGGATATTGATATGAAAATTGCCACTTAGGCAACTATACGAGGGGTGTGCAATATTTATTTCCTATATTGTTGAGATGCTGAGCTCTGCCCATCGAATTGAAATATCGTAGTTATTGTTTCTAGCAGTCTAAATGACAAGATCGTCGTGAGGTAATAAATAAGAGCGCATTTTTCACCGAGCATAAATAATGTAGTCGGGGCGGCAGCACCCCAAACGTGTGAGCAATATTCGAGGCTAGGCCTAATCCGGGCCTTGTATAGAGTGAGAAGGTCATGCACAGAGGTAATAAATAAGAGAAGGTAGAGCATTTTTCTAAAAAATTTAATGTTCATCGACTAGCATAACATAATTTAAATTTTCTAACATTTATATTTATATACACATTTGTACAAGAACGTTAACGTTATACACATATATTGGCACAATTATAGATTTTAAAGAAGTACAACAATAGAAGTAATGTCTATACAATATATCATCAGACTTGTAAAAATTTAAAGCTGCAACCAAAAATGTAACGACTTTATAACACAGGGTAAAAATTAATATATGCATATGCGCAAATAGCATACAACACACGAAAATATTTCATCACTATAGGTCATTAAAATATTTTCAAAAATTTCATCATAGACAATCTGAGTACTTTCAGTACCTACACACAATGCATTTTTGTAGCTAACAATCAAAACATCAAGTTAATGATTCAAAACCATACCAAATACTGGGTACATTATATGTATATAAGCAGAAGTATGCATCAATAATGCTAACCATCCATTTTTGTCAAATTCAATGCAAATCACAATATTAAGAAACAGTTTAATAACAAAAAAGTAATGCAGAGTCTGAATTTTGTGACAATCTGCCAATTTCTAAAAAGAATTACCTCACCCAAAATTAATTTTCCTTCTATTGGCTCGATGCGGAAATCTAATATCAACATGGTTATTTTCCATATGAGAATAAACTTTAGTGATATCAAGTGACAAGAAAATGGCAGCATGTTCTATGCACAGTAATACTCTGCCTCACCTTTTCTTCATAAGGAGTACACAGCGCTTTTCAAGCTCTAATTCAAGATTCACACATTAGCTTCCAACGTTTGAATAATAAGCAAGCATATACTTTTTATTTCTTGATGAGAACCACCGAAATTCAGCAGATCAGTCAACAATACATGGCCTGCTTCTTCTCTGAGCATCTGACAGTACCGTTTTGCTGAAACAGAATCTTTATTAGACGCTTCTGTAAAGAGCTAAAGCTCCTACCAAAAAGTATTTGAAAACTGTTAGTTGGTATGAAAAGCAGCTTATCACTGACAGCTGCCAGGTAAAATAAAGTAAATTATTATCTACAATATTAATTAATATTAATTTTATACAGTATATCACATAACACTTTAAAGCATCCCACAAACCGGCGCGAAATATTCGCTTTGGCTGCGAAAATTTCGCGGCGATAAATTCGCGATCAGATTAAAACGCGGCGGTTTACGGACAGGCTCAGACTTGTGCGAATCGAATGCGATTGTTCCAGCGTTTTTATCGCGGCGTATTTCAGTTCGCCTTTGACCGCGTTTTTGACGCCGTTCTTCAAAGATTCGCAATGGCAAAAACGGAATTATTGATAGAAATAGTGAAAAAGTATCCTTGTTTGTATGATTTGCCGAACGATGAATACAGGAATGTGAGAAAGAAAGACAAGATTTGGATGGAAATAGGAAAAGAATTAAATACAAATGGTATGTACCTAATATTTTTTATTAACTTGTTAAATAATTTATAATCTACACAAATGTGAAAACGAACATTCTATATATTGGGCATAGGCATATCAGAATTAAAATAATTTACGAATTTGTCACGAGTAGAAAATGCAAGCCTTGCTGCCCGCCGAGGATCATTTGCTATATCAGTAAAAGCTCCAAGCACGGGTTCTGGGGGATCTAAGAATTGAAAATATTTATCATCGCCACTTTTACTTCTTAAAAAATTGTGTAAAACACATGCCGTACGTACAATTAGAATAGTAGTATCTACTTTAGTTTCTAATGGCCTGTAAAATATTCGCCATTTTTGAGACAAAATACCAAACGCATTTTCCACGACCCTTCTAGATCGACAAAGTCTTACATTGTATTTCTCTTTTCTGACGTCTGTTAAAGTCTGCTTATAAGGAAATGGTCTCATAAGGTATGGTTTTAAAGCAAATGCTTCATCACCAATTAAGACGTACGAGCAGATTTCACTTTGCCCAGGGAGAAATCTAGGTGCAGGGACACTCATTAAATTTTGTTCAAATCGTTTTCCCATGTTTGAGGTTTCGAAAATACCCCCATCACTATTTTTTTCGAAACCACCAATATCAACACATATAAATTTATAGTCCGGGCCAACAATGGCCATAAGTACTATTGAATATTTATGTAAATAGTACCAGTAATTGGAGCCACTGTTGTTAGGTCTCTTGATTGTTACATGTTTACCGTCCACGCTGCCAATGCAATAGGGAAATCCCCATCTATTTTCAAATTCTTCAGCACATTTTTTCCATATATTCTCTGTTGGTTCTGGTAAATATATATGCTCCATATGTCTGCATATCGCTTCACAGACTTCGGTTACGATTGCACTCACTGTTGTAAAGCCAACTCGAAAGCTATGCCCAATGGTATAGAAGGTGTCACCAGTGGCAAGGAATCTATAAAAAAAATCGTTTTTAGGTGATGAAGTAAAAAAAAGGTGGAAGAATATCAGAGACACATTTGCAAAATATATAAAATCTACCAAACCAAAGACCGGCCAAGCAGTGGGCAAAAAAAAAAATGGCAGTGGGCTGACTACATGGAATTTTTCGTCCTTCTTTGGCATTTGCCAAAACGTCGTCTAATGTGAAAGTTATTGACGGCATACATTATGAGACTGCCGAATTTAACTCAAATATATATCAGGAAAGGGCTGGAAATGTATAAACCGAAAATTTGTAAGACCGCGGCCATGGAGAAGTTGAAAATGCTGATGTAGATACAGAAGATGCACAGAATGCCTCGGCAACACAGACAGCACCACCTTCTTCATTGAACACTACAGCAGTGACTACTCCAGGGCACACCTTTCCGCAGACTGCAACTACACCAAAATATAAAACGAACAGAAAACGCTATGAACCACCATCTTCGTCTGTACAACAGCTCATTAATTATTTTGAAGGTAAAAAACCTAAAAAAGAGAACGAGGCCATTGATTCACTTTTCTTGGCACATGCACAGATTGTGAAAACACTTCCCTTAAAGCGTCAAGCCCGAATAGAACTAAAAATAGCCGAATTAATAGCGCACGAAGAATTTGAACATATTGAAGAAATGTCTTCAGCGTCTACCCAGAATTCTGCATGTATGTATGATAGTAGTATGTCGTCCTTTCCAAGCGGCACTGGGTTTACTCCAATAATATACCCAACAGAGGAGGCAAATTCTGCCTCGAATTATTTAGCAACATTTAATCCTAGTGGCAACATGTAGTCCAATTATTACAATAAAATATTTATTTCACGATCCCTGAAGTTTTCGTATTCGATAAGCCTACTAATTTTAATACATATAATTTTTTTAACTGAGTGTAATAGCAAGTCGTTCTTCTGGCGAAATAGCTTCACGATAATTTGTGTCAGATTTTCGTATTTCATCTTTCACCAAGTTGAATATTTCATCGAAACATTCTGGAGTCATTCCAAAATATACGTAAAAGCGCTGTTCATCCAGCCGAAGTTGTGGCATCAAGGTATGGTATTCCCCAAATTTATTTCGTTCCAAGTTAATACAATGTACCCACTTCCTTCGTTTCCTAAACAAAATTGAAAATATTTGTTTTATGTACTTCGTTAAACTTAATACATACCCAACTATCAAATGGCGTTAAATAAACATAACTTACCGTGCATTTTGTTCCTCTTCTAAAGCAAGAAATAGAAGTGCCTCCTCTTCTTCTGAAGACGAGCTCATTGCAAAAGGCAAAAATAAAATGTACGCAACCTATCGAAACCTTCACGTTCGCGGAGCGAATAAGACGCTTTGGTATGAATAAACAGGCGAAACAGATTGCGAATTTCGCTCTGAATTTCGTTGCGAATACTTCGCCGCGATTATTTCGCGCCGGTTTGTGGGATGCTTAAGTCTTCAAGTCATATACATATTTTTATGCCGTATTTCACTATTATGAATTCTGTTTGCCATGAAATTTCCCTGTTGAACATTTTCAAACTGGCACACATCTTGGTATCATAACTTAATTTATCAAAATCGTACAATCCTTTTTGGAATGCCGATTTGTTTGTTATATGTATTGCTACTACAATTTTGTAAATTAAACTCTATACTTCCTCTAATAGAATAACTATGGTACTCAGTGTTGAATACAATAAAAATTTTTTAATGATAAGATGATTTTTTCAATTGAGTATAAAAACCAAGTAGCTTATGAAATTTTTGAAAAAATTATCTATGGAACTAAGAAATTATCTGTAGCAAACAAAATTCTGACAAAAATGATTATTCAAAGTTTTGGAGAAATAAATACATTATTCTAAATATACTTGGTGTAATCTCAAGTATTTAACGCAGAAATAATAGGTTACAGTTAAAAACATCCGATTCATTGTTAGCTGTTTAAATTCATAAGAAATACGTACGATTTTTTGTGCAAACGTGGTGTATCGCCCATACAGCCCAAAGTTGCACCCTATAGTCCATTTCTATCCTCAATAAAGGGAAAAAAGGTCTAAAACTCCTATACGCGACCATTTCACTTTCAGGAACCTTCCATTGCATCACGGCACTCTCTAACTCCCTGTAAAAATACATCACGTCAGGTTGAGCCCCTAAAATATTTCACGCTGACGATCGACAAATGACGTATCTCCGAAATCGAATATTGTAAACAAAGTTACTGGTATTAATGTACCGGCGAGAAAGTATTGTAATCGCGAAAAAATTCGAAAAAGATATTATTTTATATGATATTTATCTTTAGACCGAACAGTACTGCTCGGATTTGGATGAAACTTTCGCACAAGATTACTACTACGTAGTTTTTGAAAATCAGTAAAGTCGCGGCGGAGCTAGGAGCAAAAACAATAAAAACAGAGATTTCTCCGTAACAGCATCGAGCATGGACAATATAGTCGGGGCGGCAGCACCCCAAACATGATGCAACCCGTACTCGAGGCTAGGTCTCGTCTGGGCCTTGTACAGAGTGAGGATGTTATATAGTGAGAAGTACTTTTTAGCCCTAAACAAATAGCCGAGCTGTTTCCCAGCAGCAGCCGTATTGCCGAGATCCCTTCATGTCAGATCAAGTCCTCGGTGATCTGGACTCCGACCAGCCGCAATGACCGGCTCTTTGACAGGATGGATAAGTGCTAAGGAGTAGTTTTCCAATGCTTCTGAAATACTATAACTAATTTTGAATATTTTCACTAGTATTTCAAAAATTACCTCAACATATCGTCTCGTGTATACTCCAACGTTTTCCACTGCTCTTCACAATCAGACGCTAAATGAGCGACTATACCTGCTGCAAAGTAACTGACGTCTATATTCTCCGACTTTAGAAGCACGAAGAGCTCCTTCATGAGATCAGATTGCATCAGGTTTTCTCTTAACCTAGCTACTTCTGCGATGTTGTTAAGAAGACCTGCAAAATTGAAACGGCATTAAGTACCTGGACAAGATCCTTCATAGGTACAGATTCTTTGCCTAACATGACAATGACGGCATGCGTTTGACGTATGTGTACTGAGGTATCAAGAAAAATAGAGGGGGGTTTAAAGGTGCCCCCCCTCCCTTCTCCTGAGTACATCAGTTTGTATATGTGCAATTGACATAGCAAGCTCAGACTCAAAACATGGATCTACGATACAGATAACAAAAAGGATCAAGCCTCCGACAAACACCAGAACGTATTCTATACATACCTAAAACTTTTGTTTCTATAGCTGAATTATCTTTAAACACCCTAAGTACGCCGAGGAATAGCTGAACACCCTCTTGCTCTAGGAACACTGTGCATGTGGCCGCGCTTTCGTCTGTCAAGTTCCAAAGGGCACTCAAGGTAAATTTCAATGTTATATCGGCCGAACTGGATACGACCCGCGTTCTCACCATGGCTAATAATTTGTTCATGTATTCTGGTCTTGCTCCCAATTCAGACGTTTCCTCAGTTGAGACCTACGTAACAAATAAGGGAATGTCAAACAATCGTAATCACTGAAAACTATCATAACGATACATCAACACGTCAAAATGTGAAAACAAATAATAGCTAATCAAAACGCACCGAGCAATGTACATACTCATAATATTTTGTTAAAAGCCAAACAGAAAATCAGATGTAACTAAATGAGTAATTAAGCCGGATTACCTTTGCCGCTAGTATGCTACAAATCGCCACAGCCATTCTATCCATATTGACGTCATCGAAATGACAAAGCGCGTCCAGGACTAGCCTGGCGCACTTGAACCTGTCAAAGCTAACCTCCTGTAGGATCCTGTCACTGCACAACATCAACAAGGCATTCTTCTGCAATTGAAACTCCTCTGGATACATGTTCATAACAGCTAAGGTGAGATCTACGGCCCTGCTCAACGTGTGGGGATGGATGTTCTTTGACAGCTCCCCTCTGGTCAGGTTGTAAAGACAGGCGGTGGCTGCCATTTGGACTCCGAATTTGTTAAGGTGGGCATCCATGACAGGAAGTATTAAGCGCAAGATGTCAGGACGAGGCTCGTGGAAGCTCGAGGTCATTTGGAACAGGTGGTAGAGAGCTTTTTGCACATAGTTGAACCTGGAAATCAAGAGGCTCTTATCTTGGCGACGTGGAGACGTCCAAATGTTGAAACTGCGCTGTGTGTCAACTGACTCCAGATCAAAGGTTTTTTTAGAATAATGCTACTTCCTCCTACCGGTCTTCCATTTTTATTGACTGTAAAATAGGGCCTCAAATTTTCCTCTGCTTTGAGGCCCCTCCATGTTCCATACGGAAATAATATGAAGTCATCATAATAGTTCCAAATTTGATAGGTGTCCCAATAGCAACCTTGTGTTTTCGTTTTTAAACAGTACCAACAATTTTGGGCAAAGATATTTTCAAATTCAAATTTATTGGTGCCAATATACATAAGTATTTGCACAGGTCAAAGACATAAAATTTATATCTGAGTTGAAATAAAAAAAAAACTGTAGAGACTAAAACATCACACAATAAAAGTCTCAAAATGTATGTCGGAGAAATGCATCCCTACTATAGAAAGCACCAGACATCAAGATGCTTTTCACATTTTCTTTGAATTTGTTGACAGGCATATCTCTGATGCTTTTCAGCAGATGATTAAAAAATGTTATGCCCTGGTAGTCTGGGGACTTAGCCGGAAGTAGTATGACATTAGATTATTCTTGAACCTGCTATTATGTTCGTGAACGTCACGGTGCATTCTGAACATAGTAAGGGTGTTCTTTATATGGAGAAGGCAGTTCATGATATATTGGGAGTGAAATGTTAGAATCCCTAGGTCCCTAAAACCCTGCCTACAATCAACCCTAAAATCCAATCCCTTGATTATACCGACGGTCTTCCTCTGGAAAATTTACGATCAAAATGTTAAATGGATACGGCCAGCAAAAGAAATATTTCTGGCAATGATGTCAGTATGTGATGGTAACTGTAACAGCTTACTGTGAAATATAAATGTTAAATCCTCATTCCTCATGGAGGCATTATTCCTCAGATAGCATTCAATCCTCAAGTAAAGGTTACAAATGACACATGCATCATATAAAGTTCCTAGGTCAAGTTCAAAACTAGCGTTAAATTCAAATTCCAAGGCGCCTTTTGGGTCACCTTTTACTTGAAGAACATGATACTAACAATCACACCTACCTGTGCTTGTACCTCTTCAAAGTGACCTTAACCTGCGCCTCACTTCCAACCCCTGCGACCACCAAATTCGCTGTAACTTCTCCAGGTTTGACAAATACCGGATCTTGTGACACATAGCACAACACCAACCCCAAAAATTCTAACTTTGGATGAGTCTCTAGGATCTTCAACAGTACCAGTTTGGAAACGTGTTCTCTCCAACCAGAGAGGTCAAGGTATCTAAGTTCTGGGAGCATGTGTGGACTTTCTAGGGTTTCTAGTAGTTGGATTTGGTTTTTGATGTGCGGCATGTCTTTCTCATTGAAGAAGCTGACGTCTAGATACCGCAGGTGATGGAGTTGTTGAATGGTGGACAGAAGGTTGCCTATATGAGGCAGATCCTGGATATTTTATGATGATTTAGAAGTTTAATAAGGTGTGCTCGCCTATGTTTTATGAATTTCAACAAAAGCTCACCTATTTACTTTTATTGTTAGATTCCCGACAGTTTTACGAGGTCTGCAAATTACGTGAGAAGACTGGCAACGTAGCGTTCGATCTGGCAACACTCTAGGCACCTAGGTTGGAGGGGAGACAGGGGAACATGTGATCCGCCTTCAGTACAAGTTTGAACTCGCTCGAATCATTTGATTGTCCGTAGCGATTTTTTTTGTGACACCGTTTTTCCTATTGTTCTAGAAATGGATTACATCAATTTCCAAAAAAAAAAGTTTATCATTCCGTCTCCAGCTCTGAGTGGTTCAGAAGGAAGTTATTTTGAGGGTGACAATATGAAATATTTGAATAAAACAATTAAAAAAATCAGTCTATCACTTAATTTACAGACCTTGCAAACCTTGAAAGTCGCAGTTCAGGAGAATCTTCATTCATTTAAAATAGTTTAAAAATTTTGCCCTTTTAGTCCCCACGAATCCCACGCCAAAATAGACGAAAGTGCTGTGATTTCAATAAAATTTGGGTCCGAGGTCCAATGATCCTTTTTGGATACTGTATCACAAAAAATGATGTATAAAAGCATAGACAAAAGTTTTGTCAGCCAACATTGACAAAACCAATTTTGAACGCCCAGTGTGTCTGACATTTTTTATCAACAATGATAATATAAAATGTATTCTACAAAGGCCAATATGTAATGGCAGCAATTTTTTTTAAGGATTTCTGCTAAATTCATCTTGTCGTAATGTTAACTTAATGGATGTTTTATGTTACTTAAAGCCTATAACTTTAATCTTTATGTCATTCTCTAATTGAAAAATATTCGATTTTTATTTGATGTTTGTTCGTTCTAGATTCTATATTTCACCACAATTTGTTCTTTTCATGCAGAATTTCAAGTTGAGGTTTGTTTTGGTGTTGAGAAACATATGTTTTGATACCAGTTATGGCCAAGAGGGACTCAATAAACTGTTCAGTATTTTTTGTTGAGGTGTTCGTACCAATAAAAATTATATCCTATCAGTATCCATTTTCTTTTAATACATATGGTAATGATTATCCAATGTGTAGTACAGTAACTTTTATAACAAGGTGATTTATTGTTGCCATCCTGACCCTATACAGATAATTTGTGATTTTGTTTGTTTAGTGGTGGAAAATAAATATTGCCATGTTGCATTGTTGTTACAATTTATATCAGCTCCTCAATTGAAAAATCATTGTTTTGACCTGTTTTAGATATCAGCTGGAGTTCTCCAAATGGTCTAATCTGCAAACTACAACATATTCTACCATGTTATCTTCTAATTATATAGTAATAAATGGGATAATTACGATTTAATCATATTTATCAAGTAACCAATTAGCCATGTATATATTTTACTGATTAGAATTAAATGATTGGATTTTGGTGAATGAAATAGAAATTTTTGTTATATTATCCAATGCTCATATGGAAGAAGTTAGTTAAGTCTAGATTTCAACTAAACTACCTAATTTAAAATTAGGCTTCATCCAGTATAGACCCCATAGTATGCCCTTTTCCTACTTTGAGAAGGTATACAAGTAGTTTTTCTTTTAACTTGCAATGCAATGCTCTGTTGCATTGAAGGTTTTAAGTAAAGCCTTCTTCTTAAACAGAGGCATACTTGTTAAGGCCAAAAGAGTGGGCCTCTTTTTGCTTTTTTCCATTCCTTTATGAGACATCAAACCAGAAGAGTGCTTGATCTTAAAATACACCACTGTTCTTAAATACTTACACAGATGGATAAGCTTGTCAACTTTTGTTCTAGGTTTACAAGTGGGCTAAGGTCGAACACATTCGTTCCAGATATATCTAATTTCTCTAGTTGCTTCAGATCTTCACAAATAATCTTGAAAGTACTTTGATTAAGTTCTGTATATGATAAATTCAGATGTCTAAGGTTCTTTAAATTTGCTATTTTCACCATAAAGCTATATCTCAATTCATCTATGAAAGTACAATCAGAAAAATTGGCGTAATATAAATTCTCCATAGACCAGTCACTTAAACAATCTGAAAAAATAAATATACTATATATTCTCATTGGTAAATGATTTCATAATAAAAATATGAGGAAAACACTACTTGAAGAGATTATAAGAAAGTTGAAAAGTACAAGGTGGCTCACACATTAAAGAATCATGAAAGTAGTTAAACACATTTTAATTATTTGTATATGGATCATATAATGATAATATATAATTTTTGCAATCTCAGGAAAAGACCCTTTGCTGCAATGGTATTGATTTGGTATAAGCTACAGAATTCAATGAAGTAAAATGTAGTTTCAATGATTAGCCACAGACTATTTCTACGTTTATGTATAAAGCAAAGTTCAACAGAGTTTAGAGAACTTACCGATTATATCCCCTATACTAGTTCTCTTCAAGTTAATGCATTCTATTTCATTAATTTTATGCTGTTTCAATATACTCAAACCCCTTTTAGTAACCATACAATTGTTTATTCCAAACTTTCTCAGCTTTGTGTTTTGTTCTGTGAAAATTTGGAGTAGACTGTCATCCAGGATTCCCTTTTCGCTAAGTTTCTGTAGTAATTTTTCTGATATTTCAGTGATAAGAAATATATCTGGTTCTTTGAATTGGTATTTTGTTTCATCATCCGTATTTTCATCTGAAGACTTATTCCACCAGTCGCTTCTCGTATCTGTGTTTGATCTGGCATAAATTGTTATGTTGTCGCACACGGTCTCTAAACATAGGTGTTCCAAAGTACTTGGGCTTTCGTACATATCTTCAATATATATATATATATATATATAATCTGATTGTACAGATCAATGTCAAGTCTTTTGTTACCTTCTATAAAATGTTTCTGATCTATAAAGCTTTAGCTAGGCTGACATATTGAGAGTTTTCAAACGTGTATGCTACCTATTGTTCTATAAATATAATTAATAAATAATGCAAAAATTGTAAACTTTTCTTTCCAAATATAACCACAATATCACTGTCACGTTTCAAATCTGTCAATGAGGACCAGTGTTGCCACAGCGCTGTAGCCAAATTACTTGCAAATAGCAGACTGTTTTACTTGCAAAGTTCAAAACGAACAGCACTCACACGCTTCAGTGCTTCAGTCTCTCGACAACCGTCGGCGCAGCGGAGTGTCCACGCGTTCACAGCTCCGTGTAGAGCTCTATTCGGTTTAGCTACTTTTTTTAGTAGTGGTGCTCACTATAGGGTTCTCGATTGTCTCTCAATGATGTCTTGGTGTTTTAGTGATGTGACGTGGGTGTCAAGTGTCTCCAAAATGGAAATTAGGACTACCTCCAACTCTTCTGAGGGAAACAGGATACATGTGCAGCAAACTAGGTGAGCCTTCCATACTCATCTACTTGTATGTTAGGGTTGACATCCTATGTTTTTTTAAATAAATTGCGCACATTGCATACACTGAGAGATTAGTCATATAGTGAGGTATTTGGGAAAAACTAAAACTTTGCAAAATCGTTTTTATTTTTGTCTGACTTTATCTTAAGGAATGTCAAGAAACTAGTGGCACTACTTGGGCACTACATGATGGTGTTCTTAAATGTTGTGCCCGACGTACAGAACATTTGAAAAAAGGACGACACTGTATCTAATAGCATCTTTTTCTACAACTTCAACGAACGTTACATTTGTTTTTTTTAGTTATAAACAAACGTGTATTTTTTTCATGTTATTTCAGTAGGAGTTGCAAAAAATGATTGATGTAAGATTGTGTGATTACTGAATTTAACTTAGTCTGATCCTTATCTTGGCCACCTTGTAATACATTATTTTAAAAATAAATTTACAGAAACATGCCCTATTCTAACCTTCTTGTAAGTATTCTTATTTACTTCCATTCAATGAATTATGAAAAATCTCAAAACTATTAGCAAAGCCTCGAACAAAAGACTATTTTTAGTCGAAGGAATTGGTGATAGTCAATAATTGACAGTATTACACACCGTGCTTTGACACCAAGCCCTTGGCACTTATGTTTACTAAATACTGTTTTTCAAATGAAATTGACATAAGACCTGTCGCCCGCTAGTACCTCACAGACGTCAGGCGGGTACCCGTACCATGTGATTTCTTGACATTCGGAAAACGTCACATCCGTGATCCGTCTTCCCCTATTCCCTTTCTTCGCGAAAATTTGAGTATCGGTTCCCGGTAGTTTTCCAATCTTCATTTGCATTTTTCAAGCGGTATTCAACGATTTCGTGAAAAATTTCGCTGGAATCTAGTAGAGTATATTTCAATAGTTGTCTTGCGTCGCCATGTTATCTTTACTCGGGCCTCCTACTTGTACAGAAATTTAATTATTTCGGATGTTGCTTATTTGGCGTCGCCAGGTGCTTACAAAATATGGAAATTCCTTGCACAGATGCTATTGATAAAAATCAGATTTGCGAAGTGAAAATTCACAATATTTACAGCCCATCTAGGTTCTGGGCTGTGGTAAATAATGCAAACATGAAAGTATTTGCTAGATACCTGACCCACTATTACAAGCAGAAAGGAGTACCATTAACAGAAATTACAAAACATGCAATTTGTGTGATACACCAAAAGAACAACTATTATAGAGCAATCATTTTGCCAGTGATCTTTTATGGTCAAGATAAAATTAGGGCATTTCTTGTGGATTATGGCATTTTTACTCATGTTACACGAGCAGATTTGTTCCAGATTAAGCCCAAACACTTGAAAGTACCACGTTTGGCTTTTAGATGTTGTCTAGCATATGTGCACAATAAAGGTGAGTTATGAGTTACAATATATACTTCAGATAAATGCCAGTGTCAGGGTAGTGGATTTCTACACTTATACATTAATGAATACTACATATTCAATTTCATGGTGGTACTGACAGATCGTAGTGAAATGTGTGTACTTTACAAGCAACAACCTTTTAAAAGATTCAACAGTTCACATTAGTTTGCTGAATAGTCTAGATTGTAAAGCAGTTGTAACTATCAAATATCTGTTTGGTAGTAGCTTTGTTGTGGGTTCTGCAAGAAAGAATATCCAAATAAATGATTGTTCTGATTTTGTTTTCATGATTTCAAGCAATAATGAGATCGGCTACTGGTACTTCAGAACAGTTCTCTAAAAACCAAAATGAATCAGATTATGTCTGAAGTCACTATCATTTTTTAGATTAGATTAGTGATATACTAATTATTATTTCTATTCTCCCAGATAAAAATCAACCTTGGACTGTTGCAGCTCTACAGACTTTCTGTGAAATCCTTCAAACTAGAAAGATTTTTATGAAAATACATGAGATCGATGAAAAACAGAGAACTTTGTATGTGGACATTTTGCGCCAATGTAAAAATTCCTTGGAGTCATGTAGTACCCTTCTAGTCTCCTCTGGTCAAGCTTTATTGAATTCTTATGAAGCAAACACTGAAGAAAAAGATCCTAGATATAAGAGGGTTATGAAATATATGCATTTGTTTCCTACTTTTCAAACATTGGAGGGAGGGGAAGTCCCATATTCCCTCTGGGAGCACAATCTGCTGAAAGACTGTCTTCCTAAAGATGTACTTTATAAAAATTATTACGAGTATGTTAAAATAGATGACAGGAACAACAAGTAGCCATCTCATAGCTTTGAATTGATAAATTTGTAAACTAATGTGTTCCATGGCTTTATATGGGTTGTATTTCTATTCCAAGACTGTGCTAATTCTATGCTCCTTTTGGCTCCAATTGGCTAGTGATAGTTTTAAGACTAGATCCTAGATAGCAATCTGTAGAAACTCAAATGAATGTTATATATTGACCCTTACATGGATTTATTCATAAGGTTTTTCAATAACATTTTGTTCTATATTGTTTTCACTTGCTTTTTAAGCATGTGAGAATCATTGTGTTCCATTACTTCAATTCAAGTGATATTTTGACAGTGAATTTTTTGTTTTGTAATGAAATGCAAAATTGTAGGTATTACGTGAAACTGTAATACTACATATGTGCAATAGATTCTAGACATATATGGTATACTTGTGGCAATATGATTATGAAATAAATAGTACCTATCTTGATCATAAGCTACAGTGTGGCGGTATTGGTCACTATATTAAATTCATATTATATATATATATAAAGATTAATAGTATTAATATTTTTTATATTTTTGTATTTTTATATCTCTACAAAATAATGATATTCATGTGTTCCTTATGATGTGTTCAATAAATAAATCTACTTTTGAAATTTATATATATCATTGCATACTTGAAGAACAAGTTACGCTTCAAATTTTATATATCCATTATAATTCCTCAATATTTTATTCAAAACTCTATTTTCTATAACATTCTAGCAAAATAGCAGAGGTAGCAAAATCGTCCGATGAGCTGGCAACACAGCAATCCAGGGTACTGAAGGAGTCATGTAGAACGTCAAATTGGCATTCATTTGCATTTTTTTAAGTGTTGTACAACGATTTCGGGAAAAAATTCCCTACGAATAGTCTTCTAGAGTAGAGTGTATTTCAATAGTTGTCTTGCGTGGCCTTGTTATCTTTACTCGGGCCCATCAAATGGTACTAATGATTACAAAATATACATATTATGTATGTCTTCTGTGGATCTATTAGTCTAAACATTCCTTTCTTGTCCGTGTGTGGACACAAATATTTCCGAAACATAAGTTTTTGTAATTTTGGCTTTACGTCAAAATTGATAAAATACGATTCCCTTCTTTCTCCTATTATTCGTCAGAGCGGTCCGGTGGACCTTTGCTCTTAGTTAAGTCCCGTCGGTCTGTTAGTCTGTCAGGTCTGGCTACCCAGATACCAAACATGTTTAACGAGAAAAGGGAAAGGAAGGAAGAAATAGAGCAAAGAAAAGAAGTAAATCATTTGAAATAGCTTAAGCATTATTGCTTTGACCTTCTTTCTCCTTCCTTATTTATCACGGTCAAAAATAACGTAATGGAAGGCTTTTAACGATTCGTTATTTTTGCTGCACTGAAAAATGCTGAAAACTTAGGTATATTCTTTAATTCACCGGTTGAGCAACCGGTTAGGCAATTTTGCGTTTTTTAATTTCCGCTGGAACGACCGGTTGTACATCAAACTTGTCTTTATATTGATGGTGGACATGCCACCGGTGCCAACAGCATTCACCGACGTTCGGGCTCGGTTGATACCACTTGCTTAGCAATTCCAAAAACAGAAGATCCTTTTATACGGGATTAGACGTGGATGTTCAAATTGATTGTATCCAAAACTACATATTACACGGAATTAGACAAGTGTATTCTTGGAAGGTTTCTCATCAAACCGGTATTGTATTCTGTTACGTCACAGTAAATATGAAAAGAGATAATAATATGACCTACTGACATTTTGATGTGACGTTTACAAACACAAAACATAACCTAGCGTCCAAATTGGGATCGTAAGAATTAAAATTTTTCAATTTCTATCAGTACATCAAAATGTCTGGAGCCGTTTATCAGCCAACAACTGTGACATATGAATCGAATGGGGCCCCAGACCGATGGCAGGACAGGCCCATAAGTTATTTGGCCACCTCGGTGACTCAAGCCGCAAGAAGACCTTGCTGGAATTTGGCTAGCTGTATGCCTTCTAGAAATGTACTGCCTATCATTCTCATATCAACATGTGTGGGATGTTTCTCACTTGGGTACGTATTGATGAATGTTCGAGAGTAAATCATTGCTCTATTAATGTATTAGAGAAGTACTAAGGAGCATATTTCCTTATAGTTCACCTTTGAAGGATGATGAAGTGAAGCTATTTATAGTAATCAATCCATTGACCTTGCAGTCTGTCTTTATAGTATTGATGTATTTTGAATACAGTTCTAGAGTCTATTAAACACTTCCATATAAACTGTTTTTAACATTACATCAAATTGAATTATGAATTGTACATTGTTAAGTGTTTTGTTGTTTATTGCTGCCCATAAATTTAAGGACAAAATACAGTCAATTGAAACATTAAAAATTATTGTGATAACAATATTTATTATGTATTTTCCATTTTCTAGTTTTAAGTAATTGCTACATAATAGCAACATGCATAATTTATTGGATAGACTAATAAATAATCTTGTGATTCAACCAGATTGTGGTTGTTATATGGATTATTAGATCATACCTGATTGATTATTGTGCTTATATTCAAGCTTTATAATTTGAGCTACATTGTCCATATGTCAGACATCTGACAATACCTGCTAACTGGCAGTTTTGCCCAATTTGAGGTATATGCACATTTTTCTTTGTCTACCTACAGCACACATTGTGATAGAGTCCGCTAACTGCAGAAAAATTTAGTTTTTGAATTATTCAGCCAAAACAATACGTACCACTGGTAACACATCTGTCAATGAGTGGCAATTCCAGCCATCTGACAATTACGCATGCTATTTTTCTTAACTTTGCAATGAAACACAACATTGTGATTTCTCAGAAATATCCCACCAAAGGACACACACAAATGAAATGTGACTCTGTACACAGTTGCATTTATGGAAAACTGAGAAATAGAGTTATTGAATTACCAAATGACTATGTCAAGGTGTCAAAAGAAGCTAGGACAAAACCAGAGCCATATGAGGTGATCCAATTGAGTTACTACTTCTTCAAGGACTACTCTCGAACAGAGGTGCAGCGATACTCAACAATTAGTCTAGGCAGGGACAATGTAGTCACGGACATCAAAGTACTATATTATAATCCCGATGGAAAAATTGAAGTGAAACTAGACTTCAGTGTAGAGTCTCAGGAGTTGCCTATGAGACCAAAACAGCTACCCGTCATTTCAGATTATAAGTGTTATATCTAAGGACTGTCACATGTTTTACGACAATTTGCCATATCTCAAGGAAAGAAGCTGAACATTCATTTAAGATGTAATTAGAATTAAACTTTTAATTTGATATAATGAATAACAGTTCTTCTAACACGAATCTCACTAAATCCATCTGTGCAAAGAAAGTTAGCAGAAATGTCAGCTATAAAAACGCTTTAAATATGAGTTAAACGTCATTTATTTTTGTGACGAAGTTTTAGAGTCTTAAGGGCGGTAGTATAAAATTGATAAGTCTTTTTTCGTCCCCTGTAAAATTACGGTTCCTGCATGTAGCAGGTATTGTTAGATCTCCGACGCATACCTCAAGTCATTTTGAGTCATTTGGCAATAAAATATTAAAGTATGACTGTTACAAAAAAAAACAACAACATTCAAACAAAAAATGTCACTTCATTTGTAATATGAAATGTTTTTTTTTGAGCAAATATTTGAATAATTTAAAAAATTCGGGATATTTTTAAAAATAATCATTTTGGATCCTGTATTTGTATCTCAAAAGTGAAGCATTTATTTAATGTATTTTAGCATGGTGTTGCTCATAAATGGAGCAATTGGTTACTCAGAGCCAAGTGATGCTGCAGAAGATACAAATCTAATACTAACAGTATTTGGAGCAGTGTTTTTGGGATTATCAGTGTTATTATTTGGTGAGTATATTTTTATGAGAAGAGGAGGTCGTCAAATAAGAGCATTAATGATAATGAGTTCCTTATCACCACTAATATTAAACAATTTTGAGTTTATTTTAATCAAATTCAACTGTTAATTTATCCTACTCTCCCTCATCAGTCTCAAATTTAAGGAAATATAGGTAGTACCAGCCTTCTAATTTGGATATCATATCTGAAAAAACAAATTTTATAATGATATATAAGCTACAAACTACATCAAAAGTATCAAAGTTGAATACTGGAGTACTGCTACATATCTACTACTCTTTTGAACTGTATCAAGTAAGGACATTGTAGTTTTGATGGCCGCCCTATGATCAGAATTCCAGGCAGGTTTGGCCTTGAGTAACAGACTGAAATTTACATGACAAAACTTACATCCTAGCCTTGGCTAGTTTGTTCCCTGCTATTTCCTAAATAATTTAAATTTTCATGAGCAGGTAAACCTTGACCTTATATCACCTATTTCGGTGTTATTTATCTAACAGTATTTTGGATCAGATTTATTGAATGGAAAGGTAATGACCTACCTAATGGCTAATGAGAAGAAACTGTACTGAAGAATATCGGAGCTGAAACTGAGATGAAAACAAAAACCCTTGATTTTGACAGATTGTTTTAAATGCAAAGTCAAAAATTGCAAAATGTCCTTCTAGGTCTTTTTCTCCGAGCCACACGTCGTTTCTGCTGGCGTCGTAGGGGAGCTAAGGAGACCTCGCCTGGTGGCGCCAGTGCTCCAGGTGACTTGGCAGCTACGACAAATCCGTCCACTGATCTTCTTGTAGCTGCACAGTATGCTCCAGTCCCAGAAGTGGCCAATACTGGAGGTGCATACAACGAGGCTGCTGGTAATGGGGCTGATGAAGAAGAAAGGAAAAGATTGATGAATGGACAGGAGAATACCAAAGAAATCACGTAAGCATTTTACTAAATCGTTTATAGATAGGGAGGTATTGTTTGAATTATGAAACTGACACTGTGGTGCCAAAGTTTTGTAAGTAGATGTTTTAGTATGGAAATACTCAATTGTTCTTGACATGTGTATTTTCAGCGTTTATCGACAGTTTTCGTATAACTTTAGTTGTTTTTAAAAGGTTAGCACTTTTTGCATTTTTGTACGTCATTCAGCCATTTTCAAAGACTTAACTTACTATTTTCATATGAGTACATGGCTGCAAAACTTCCTACTTCAGATCTCTAATTAAACATGCTGAGGCACAAAACATACACAATACAAATAAAACAATTTAAATTCTCATTATAGTTGTATTTCAAATTTCCTTTTTATTTTGAGCGCAATCGCACAAGACTTTCATTTTTATTGCCCGACAACTTCAAGGAATGATCTGTTTTTCGCGCTTGTCCAAACGCCTTCACAGATTTTGACATATGAGTTGTTGTTGGATTGCGAGTGACGCTGGCTATGTTAAAATTTTATAAAAATAATATGGCCGATTTTAGTATCAATAATAAAAAAGTTCAACCTTGGAATTCCTATTTCACGGGCTACAGCTCAAATGACGTAATGGATTTTGACATATGAGGTGTTGTTGGATTAGTTTTAATGAAAAAATCTAAGCTTGAAATCTCTATCCCACGGGCTACAGCTTAAATTTATAAAATTTGTTGTAGCAACGAGGATGCAGACAGGATGGTAGAGAGCGATCCAAGGATAGTACTTCGCCCGTTGAACCCTCCCACTCATGAAGAAGCATAAGATTAAAACGCTAAAACCCGCAACTGTACTTAAAACGCATCACGTACTATTACTTTTATCAAAATTGAGTGACCTGGTTTTGTAAATCAATGAGTTTCGACGGATTCTTTGTTCTATGATTTTTCATAAGGTATTTTGCTTTATTAAGATATAGCTGCTTTAGCTACTGTTACGAAAACACAATTCTTACCGTTCAAAGTCTAATTTATCACTCTACACTAATTTATTACACTTGCAACTAATGTATGACAAATTTATAACCATGTCGAGTGGACTGTGCTGACACGTTGATCGCTGACTGTGACTGACTGCTTCCGCCATCTGGTCGGGTATTTACCTTCAATCGGTGAATACCAGAAGCCTTCTAGAGACAGCGCGAGCTTTGACGAAATCATCTAGGTGGCAGTAGATTCATTTCGATGATGTCGAACGATCGATCGAAGTTCCTTCTAGAGGCCGCAATCGCTCACGCCCAGCCGCGTAACTCTGGTTGGCTAAGCGTCGATCTCATGTACGACGCTGCATCGCTGGTACCCAGAGTTCCAGTTATACGAGGGCGTTACAATACGATAGATTACGTCTCGCGTTGACCTCACAATTCCAAGACAGGTGGTACTCTAATTCTCATGTTGTCTTATATCAACGAGACAGTATCGCAGAAGCTCTAACCTCTAACTACACAACTTCATCTTTCGCCTTAAAATACTCTTTATAGTGATGCACGGATAAATCCTGCCAAAACACTGTTGAGGGAAGCATTTGCATTGGGGTTAATATGGAGTTTAAATGAAACTATCCACCGGCAGGGAGAACAAGGAAAGATACATGATCTTTATTTGAGAATACATAAATTTGCCCCAGAGTCTTCAAAGAGCTGCTATATGTTCAAAGGTTGGGAATTTCTGTGTATTTAGCATGAGGAAAAAAACTGATGACGTAGTGGACTTGGTGGTTGTGTTTCTAAATCCTACTTGTGTCACAAGCAAAACAAGAGCTCTATGCCACTTGTATTTGAAACAACTGGACATTCAGAAGAAAGGCAGACGACATGATAATATAAAGTTGCACATCAACGGATGCAGCGTGCACTTTAAGTTTTTTTTGTGATTTCAAACGTTTGACCAGCTCTGTATTTATGTGTAGAATTCTGTAGACAGTATTCTATTTTTCCAATTTTGATGTTATAACCACAAACATTAATGAATAATATCAAATCTCAGTATTGTATGTGTAAAAATGTCATCCACTCTTGTACAAAGATATATATCATTAGCGTCTATTGAAATCGTATATTTTGAGATACGATGTATTTTCATAAGGAGATTTCATATTTGTTTTGATGTCGTTGGAAATCTCTTTTGCTATTCTAACATTGACATCTCATTAGTCGTAATTCTCATGATGAGTTGCTTAAGAAGCACAAAAATTACTTTTTGAAGGTTGTGAAAGAGGAAATAAGTTCAACAGGGCACGTTTACTTTTGGAGATCAATTGATATTAGAATTTTCAAAAAATATATGCTCACTTCGCAATTTAGCATTTATTCTAGGTAAACTACCCAGGAACCTGTAATGCAGATGCGAAACAAACAATATTTCTCCATATTGAGTTCTATTTTGTAAATGTATCGAGTTATATTCTTATTTCCTCTGAGAACGTTTATATAAATATCAGATTCCATCCACGTTTTTGTTCAACGTCTATAAGGCTCAAAAGCTTGAATCTCGTATTATTGTTTAAGTTTGCATCGACTGAAATTATTTATGATATAGTTAGTATAAGTTTCAATTAATACAGCTTTATTACTATGACTACATTTTTATATCTTTATTTTGTATCACAAATAAATATTTCTTTGATATTACCGGTCTTTTATTCCCATCATAGAAGAAGGTACGGAAAACAGCTCCGCGATTATTTTGTTGTTATTCTGGCACAATTTTTCAATACCAGAAGGTATTTCGCATGTCGGGTCAGATTTTACTTGCAGAATCGTCAAAATCGGTAAGTAAAATTTCCCATCAGGATGACGCCAGAAGGTATGGAAAAATAGATCCATACTAATGAAGGGTACCGGTAAATAACGACAATAGTCGATCCGGACTGATTTTGAGAAAATCGGTAATTAATGTTTATTTGTTGGAAAGTAAAATTGATGAAAAAATAAGTCGTAAAGAATATCTTTGCTAAACAGTGTGTTTATTGGTAAAATAGATTTTACAAAATGAACTTTTACTCAAAACTAGTAACGTAACAAACAAAAGATAATGTTCAACTCTAGACTAGTGAAATTTTTCCCCTGCTTTAAGCGTCTATTGGCGGGTAATCGACATATTCTATCTTCTGGATGATCAACAGATATTAACTGTTGATAAAATGCCCTGGAATCTGGTATCTAGAAATTTGGTCAGATCCTGCAGATGCTTCCATTTCTTACTTTTAATTGGGATTGGGCCCTGGTAAAGTTTTCTCAATGTTTCCTCTTCTCGTTTTTGTTGATCTTTTTGCGTCTTTTTTAGATTCTTCCGAACTACCTTATCAAATTTAGAACTAGCATATAGACCTATGTATGTCGATTTGTGAAAAACTACGCGAGAATTCTGACTGGTCGGGTTGGAAAGGGGCACTTCGTTGGATAAAACGGCGATAAAAACGTACTCCAATCTTGAAAATCAAAATTTTTGCCACAATCAATGACTTCAAATGGTGTAGGTTTCACACGGCAATTTTTCAATTCATCTCTTCAGTCATCCGGTTCCTCAGTGTATGCTCTTTGGTTCACGAGACTCATATCTATCACACTCGAGGTATGTCCCCTGATCGGGAATATTACTTTCATAGTAGTAACACGATTTTTCTTGGTTACCAAGTAATGCAAAAACCGAATAACTGTAAAGTTTTTATTTTGCCCTGCACAGGAGTCACAGAAAATGACAAGTTCTTTTACTTCCATAGGCTGGATGTTATAAAAAAGTAATACAGCATAGAACAGACATCGTCAGCTCCTTTCTTAGCAGTAGATTCATCGTTGGTATAAAATATAGAATTTGAGTTTGACAGAATATGGATGTTAAAACTGATGAAATTTAGTTGCCGCTTTTAGTGAACATCATTTGTCGTGATATTTGGACAGGGCAAGTTTTTTTGGTAATCCATCGTGTTACTTTCGATAGCGGGGAACTTCGAAACACGTTTGCGGTAAGTTCTCTTTAGACTGTAAAATCTCTTACTCCTTGTTTGATGTAGTGTCTTCTCCAAATAATTACTTGCTGACTGCATAGTTTGTTCCGTGTGGGAATTTAGGGTAGCGGTTAGTGAAGATATATCAGCTTTTAAGGAATCACACGTACTACAAGTATCTTTTCGTGGATAACCGAACGATATGTTCGAGTTGTTTTCAAAGATTTCTCGGAAGGATTCATAGGAAATCCTGTTTTCAACTTTGCCAATTTTATGTAATTTTGCGATATTTAGATTTTCAGGTAGGTAAACTTTTTGTGAATCTGCCAAAGAATAATGAGATTTCTGGCATTTGAGGCCTTAATAAACTCGGTCACTTTCTGATTTGTGTTTTCTGAAAGTTTGTGAAGTCGTGTGTTGTGTTTTCCACGCATGTCGATGAGCGATTTCCCAGTTGCAAATAATGAGTCTCTTATGTACCGAACTCGACGAAGTGTAATTCCGTGTAAAGACAAAAAAGCCTTAAGACAAACTGCAACATCACGTATAATTCCATTTTCAACCAATCGGTATTAAGACTTGACTCTGCTTAATTTTTTCGAGCGCGTCTACGCATGACAGGAAGAACAGTGATAAGACCACTAAGATAAGCGTTTTGTGCATTAGTGTTTCCTAGTTCATTAAATTCACGAAGAAGTGTACAGCGTTCAGGTTCAGAAACAGTAGTAAAACAGCGAAAACCTCCACAAAAACAATCAGGTCCAAGTTCGTGGGTAGCTTCGCGCAACGTTTTTATTACGTCTCTTTGTCTTCCTGTTTCCAAATGCACTGATGCCGTTTTTCCATACACGCGCAGTGACTCATGCCATTCTTCCCCAGCACAAGGAATCTTATAGCTGTTGTTTTGTGAACCTAGGCCCATTTTACAATGTAAGAAGCTGATTACAAGATAGCATCAGGAAAATGCCACCAAAATAAACTGGACGCTCGATTTAGCCAAATAATGGACTAATGCCGTTTTTCCCCGGTACCCTTCAAATATAAAAGTCGATGCAGTTTCCTCTACTTGCTTGCTTGATTTCATCGATATATGCTACTCCCTTTACGACTTGTTGTTCCTTTAACCAGGCAGTGAAATGAAACTATGCTGTAAATGCCATCAAATCTATATTTATACACATATACAAAATGTACAAAATAAACATTACATTTTTACAATAAATATATTTGTTTTAAAACGTTTGCATATTTTTGCATTTTCAAAAAACATCGGACACAAAACATTCAATTGGGGTCTTGGTAAAAACGGTGAAAACAAGACTAGAAAATAAAAATATTGAGCTTGAGGTAGGGAAGTGATCAAAACGATCACTAAATACGTCGCATTTTTTCTACCCTCATTTTTTTTTATCTAACTCAACCATATCATTGGTCAATTTTGAGTACACTAGACTATAGGCTATTTACACCTACATGTTTCGACATCGTCATTATCAACTTGAAGCTGATTTATCACGTCTTAAAATTCTGTATCTTTCTTCAACAATGGCTTCTAGAAGCTGCTTATCATATTCAATAGTTTTCCGAGAGTCTTTTGGCGTACTGCACTTATCTCTTCAGCTCGTTACGTTTGTTTTCCTAAGGTAACAATACTTTCTTCAAGTTTTCCCTTCTTCCTCAAATGTATCGACTTGGATTCTTCATTTTTTTCCTGCTCTGAGCTTATTCAAATGTTACCTTAGAAAAACAATTGCTGCAAAATGAAGACACCAATGCAGTACGCGGAAATGAATGAGACTAAACACCATTCCACTCTTAAGTAGCTTTTAAAATAGTCATCGTTGAAGAAAGTTACAGAGAATTCCAACATGAACCAACTTCAAGTTCAGAAAATGGTGTTGCAGCTTGTAGATGAAGCTGATAAATGTATACAGGCTATGGTGAAAATGGTGTCAAAATTAAGACAAAGTAACATGGGTGACTTAGTTAAAAAATTAACGCAGGAATATGAGCAATATGCGATTGAGATTTTTTCTATCTAGAATGAGCACCTTAAAACTTATTACATAGGATCCTATTACTTCTTTATTTCAAATTTTAAAAAGCCTATTTTCATATTCATCACAAAAAGTGATGTTATACAATGTTAAAAAAATAAATCAGTCTTATTTTGGTAGCAACAACATACATTTTGTGCGTAAAATTATTATTTATTTCAAACTAAAAACTTCATTCAAAAAGTAAACGCAAAATACAAAACAAAAAAGTGCATTCTAGTAATTTTAAAAGATTGTCAAATATGATCTTGGATCAACTTGCAGAGTCCTATTTGGTCACTACTCCTGAATCAAGTATATAAAGTGAAAAAATATGTTAACAAAATCCTAGCGCGATTTTGTGTAAATATTAGTATTTTTTAGTGATCATCGTAACATTTATGATTAATAAAATAAATGTAAAAACAAGCATATAACTGAAAAATGAAAGGATGTCCTCTTTTGTTGATCCAGGACTCACCAAGATCATGCTAATTAGACAAAAAACGGACCCTACTGTAGAAAAAATATAAACGGATTTTACAACGGAATTATATTTTTAAGGGTAAACGAACAGGTTATTTCTTTACAAAAAATGTTGCTACTAACTTTTAACTATATGTCAAAGTCGGAAAAATCACTTTCCTTTAAAACAAGTAACTTGTAACAGCTCAGGCATAAATTCGAGAAACATCGCGCGCCATCTGCCAGCTTCCAGTTCTGCCTAGAGCGCTTCTGGATTCGTGGATTCGAAGATAAATACACGCACAGAGGGCAAACGGTCGACCGAGTGGACGATGAGTAAGCAGCGTTACGGAATACAATAGGCCTGTCGATTAGACTTTAAATGAAAAAACGCTGTTTTCGTTACAATATGTAAAGTTTTCTACAGCAGCTACGTCGCTATACAGCTCGTAAAAAGTCACTATTAGACTCAAAAAAATATTGTAAATTATAAATTCTCAGATAACGGGAGCATTTTTCTAATTATTTTTCCTGAATGTCAAAATCTCGATAAGTGATTTAAGGAATTGGATTTTGGGTATTATATCATATTTCCTGTTGTACACTTTATGGTAAACAAATTTGAATATTGGCTATTTTATGGAGTATAAAATTAATTAACAGTAGGTATTTTCTTGCTTTACAATTTGCCTCCGAAGCAGTTTTAATATATGAAAAATATTTTTCTTCATCCTTGACGGCTAATAAAAAGGTTATTCAGGATTTATTTTGTATCCCTAGATGAATAAATATTTACCCTTCTGTTGTGAAATCCACTTATAATTTTTTCTGACATTCTAGATATCTATATGTGGACTTTTTTTGTTTTCACGGTCTTATCTCGAGATCTTTCCGTCTCCACCAAGGTATGCCAGGTTCTTCCATCATCGGTGAGGATTCCCTGTTGGGAGGCCGCAGAGGCAGAGGTCGGTTGAGGTTAGCATTCCCATGCACTTGAGGCAAATGGTTGGGTTTGCGTACCGATTCCCTAAAACCGCTACCGCTACCACTGGCCTCTTCGGCTGACTCTATTCGGGCGTCCATAGGGTTAGTACGAAGCCTGAAAGAAAATAAAACAAGGATGTTAAGATCTAGTATCGACAAAACAGCCTCAAACTGAACGACTTGTGCTTTAAGCTGAGAATAAAAGTCATCACATATTTGCACAGGGCGCGGATCATGTACAATCATCAGCACATGCAGAAACATAAGAAGACATGGAAATGACGTTGTGCTCCTAGTTTGAAATTGGTGGAAAATTCGAAAGTCTTTTCAGATATCTCTTGTCGTTGCGTTCTAAGCAAAAACCGGCTTTCGAAATCTTCAAAATCTGTGAATGAAATTTGCTATGAGGATCGCAGAAAATGGCGGGAAATTCAAAGGTATGTGGAGTTACTCTTGCCTTAGTAGAGACAATTACATTTTAGAACTATGTCGTTATTTTCGCACGTATATTCAGCCAATGGTTCTGTGCCTTACCTGATCTCCTCCATCCTAATCTGCTGTCTCATCTGCGCCAGCTGCATCCTTTTGCGCCTACGCGCATGCGCCGCGTGCCTCGCTTCGCACTGCACTGCCAACAGTAGGGCACTAACCAACGCCAACAGACCTCCAATGTACGCCAGCACTTGAAGATTTCTGGCTGCAGAGCGACGTAGAACGGCGCCGGCGATGCACAAGGACACGCCTGTCAGGATGCCCATCGTGAACACCAACTGGAAAAAATAAAAAACATGTTATATGTACCTTTAGCAGTATCACAGTCGTTAATCCCTCATGTTCAGCTGACCAATCAAACCACCTACTGGGTGTCAGGTAAATAGTACGACAAAAAAATGGGAGAGATAGGCGAAGATCTACAGCATACCAAAAATGACCCTAGCAAAAGTCTTTTTTGAAAAATTTCCTCGTTTGATCTACCTTTTGTTGCTGATCAAGCAGGTAATTTATCGCAGTACTTTGCAGTAGCAGTCTAGTACATTTTTGTTTCATTGCAAAGTTGTGGTTGTTGAAGATTTATTTAGCAATAATGCTACAATGTCAATTTTGTATAATGAATCGGTTACATATTTTTCTTCAATCCATGTTCTGTAATTTTATATTCTTGTCTATTAAAATTACGTCACTATGTATTATGATTATTCATAAAGTGATGTTTTAATTTCACCACAAAGATTTTTAAATTCGAACTCTGTTTAATACCATTATTCAAATTATTAAATTCAAATACTTCATTTTGAAATATAGATTTACTAGTTATGCTACTATTACAATTTTGCAGATGAAAAACTATACTGCCTCTAGTTTCGTAGTTATGATAATGACTATTTAATTTGGTGAAGTTTTCTAAATGTGTTGGTAATAAATGATTTTCCGAGTTGAATATGAAAACGAGAACTAAATAATATATGAAATTTTTCACATCTAACCACTGCAGATCTTCTAACATAGACTTAATCCTAGCATATTTGTTTTTATTTAAAATGATTCTCATAGCTTTATTTTGTAGAATTTGTAATTTTGAAAATATGTTTTCATTTGCTGTAAACAAGATGGTTGAACAATATAAAAAATGGGCAAGAATTATAGTGTTATACACAATTCTTTTTGGAATACATACTAAGATTATGGGAACTCCATAGAACAAATTTATCTTTTTCGATATTTTTGTAATAATGTTATTCATCATGTTATTGAATTAAGATACGGTTTATTAGAACAAAAATAACTTAAAAAAGTAACGGTATGGGATATTAGAATAGGTAACATTTAACACTTAACAAAAATGATACTAACGCGAAAAAATAAAATTTGCAGATACGGGGTATTAGAATTAGACCATCGACATCGATCATGCAATAACCAATCTGAGACCGTTACTGTTTAAATTCAAGTATCTAAACAAATATTTGGATAAAAAAACAATGAAAATTTTATATCATGCTATGATCGAAAGTCGTATGAGTTATGCAATATTAGATTGGGGTGGAGCACTCAATAACCAAATGAATAAATTGGAAATTATCCAGAAACAACTTTTAACAATAATTTTTGACAAGCCCCATCTGATCTGTTGTATTCTGAAACAAAGTAGTTAGACCCAGGCAATCATTTTTTCATAAAATTGTTATTTATCATTTTCAACAAAGAAATTATCTGATTCCGTTAGATCACTTATTATATCAAACGAGAAACAGAATCAACAACATCAAGCAAATACCTCAAAAAGTATAGGTCAAAGATGTCATACTTATCTTTCCAGTAGGCTATTTGACATATTACCAAATGATTTAAGAGATGTTTCTAATAGAACTAAATTTAGAATTGAAATAAAAAAATTCATATTTGAGAACAATCGACATGAAATTGCAAGGATGATACATATGGAAGAAAATTAAACTTAATTTAGTAAAACAAAATCCTATATATGTGTATGTATCTGTGAACTATGTATATGTATAGTTATGTAATTATTTATGTAAGTTTTAAGTAATTCATACACACGCACAAGAATTAATTTTTATGTGGATATTTGCAGTTTACTTACTTATGTATATGTATGTTAGTTTTAGCTATGTTTGTACAATAAGGGGATAAACTTATTATTATTATACATATTATTATTTAAAACAGTTTATAACATAACTAGTGCCAAAAGTAATAAAAATAGCTATTATGGAACACTGATACAACTAATCCATTCTTGCAGAATCAAAATGAGCTAAATATTCAAGTATTATATTCTTTGTTGATTTTGAAAAAATCTTAAAATGTTCTTTTATAAATTGAAGTAAACTGTATATGTAAATTCTTACCTGCAAGAAAAAGTAACAAACATTCTCGAAAGTTTGACATTTCCCTCCGCAGCCATATACTACAGCGCTGGTAACTCCTGAACTCATCGAACTTTGAGGTCTGTCGGACAGCCTGGTCGGCAGCTTTCTCGAGGCACTTGTTGCAGGTACATTATCACATCTGAAACATCAACAAACAAGGTTAACATTCATTTCGAACAATAAAATTATTGAACAGAAAAACCTAAGAACTTGATCAGACCGCGGAGTAACAGTCTGCTTTGGTCACAGTTCAAAATACTTTTGAGAATTTTGCTAATTATCCATGCTCAGCTTTATAAATCACAGACGTTGAAATGAAAGTTTACTAACGTTTCGGACACCTCAGCGTACAATTCAAAATAACAACCGAGGTGACTGGAACGTTATCATTTGTGGTTTCAGTTGGCATATGGAGATTGATCAATAAGACAACTTCAGGATAAGTTTCAAATGTTGAATCAAACTTCATTGGGTCTATTTTCTGCCGCAGTGCGTTAAATTCGATACTTTTATGGATTACTTGAATACTTACGGTGTTTGTATTTCTTGGTAGATTTGGTCCCATTGGCTATCATGGTTAGGGTACACCCTCCTCAAATCTTTATTTACGTAGTGGGTATATTTCGTATCCGAGGAATGCTTTGGTCTTTTGAAGCTCCTATCTGAGAAGGTATTCCTTGAATATCTGAAACAATGATACATTTTGTTATAAAACTTGTTTAGTACAACTTCATTTAAACCATCTTGAGACACTAGGTTATTATTCACAGAACAGAATGTTGTCAGGACGATATAAGGACACATTTTAATATATTACACTATGACTCATCTAAACATAGATGCGGAAATGCATTGATTTCATAATACATTACGGTATTTAGGCTTGTCCGACTTTGATGCTCAGAACACACGAAAGAAATGCTTTTTGAATCGCAAACAGTTCCTAATACATAAATTTGCAATTATTTAGGGCCGTATCGTCAGTCGTTCCTACAACTGTGGCACGCCTTTATGGCCACCTTGACTGTCATAGTTTTCTACCGTTCAGTGTCGGCGAAATATCTGTTTGGATCAAATTGTTCAAGCTTTTGATTTATATCATCTGTCTTATCAGCCTGAAATTTCCTACAATTCAAAAAGAAAACATAACTTCACAATAGGAGAGAGCTGACACGGAACAGCAGAAATCTAGTCCAGTCTTTCTGAATTAGAGAAAGGACTATGAAAATCAAGGAGGCCATAAAGCCGTCGTACAACTGTAAGACTGGCTGACGATACGGCCCTTAGACAGTTACCACACAATCCCGTTATCCAAACCATCAACTCCTACCTTTTATTAGACTCATCCTCGAACTCCAAGTACGGCAGCCTGTCATCCTCGTCCGTGTCCTCGGTGAAGCTGACATCGGTAGTAACACCGCCCCCAGCGACTGCATAGCCTCCGTTTTGCCTCGCCGCGGACGGTTGCAGCCTATCGCAACAGTAGTTGTACACCTCCCCATCGGTGCCCTCGGTGGTCGTGATCGGTTGGCCGTGGCGATCGATAGCTCCGCCTCCTCCGCCGTTGCTACGGTGACGGCGCGACGAATGGTGATGCTGACGAGAGGGAGGGGCATAGTTGTGGCGGGAGGAGCGTTGGCTGTTGCGATACGTGTGTTGCGGCCGGTGGTGCTGGGATGAAGAGGCGTGGTGCAACGGGAGGGTGGTGCCCTTTAAAGAAATGGGAAGATGTAAGAAGATAGCTAGATCAGTAAATCTGTATAAAAAAGGACGAATGGCAAAAAAGTAATAATCGTGGTGACTCCGATAGAGCACAGTCGGTTCTGAGCGAGTCGTTTCAAAGGTACATACGAAACTGCAGAAGGAATCTATTCCAATCTTCTCGAATAAATCGATTCCGATTCCAGTGGTTTCGACCCCGATTCCTGAAACCGAGTTCGACGGTTGCGGTACTAGAGCTAAGCTAGGTTGTATTTGAATCAACTGTTGGGAACGAATACCGATGACACTAGAATTTGAATATCGCCGCTACCTCAATAACGATCTACACGGTTTACCTGTGGTGTGGAGCTTGGAGTGTGGACGAGATAGTATTAAACAAAGTCAAAGATTAGGGAACAAAATAATGATATAGAAGGAAGGAAGCTGTGAAACATTTCAGCAGCAAAATAGTCTGTAACGCAAACAGTACCAGTGGACTGAGTGTTCGTCACAAGTTACAAAATGTTTGAAGTTCAAGTCTGAACTCAATGATGGCCACATACACAATTTCCAATAGTAGATTGGACACTGTATAAAGGTATAAAAAGGCCTCAATCGACATAGCACTTGCGGAGGACAATTAGTCAATTACTCGTAACAACCCATCCAATCAACTAGTTTCATGATACAATCCCCGTGACTGTGCAACGACAAAATGTACCCACAGCTTTAAGCGGCTCATTGTGCTTATTTTAGTCTTTATAGTCAGAAGCAACATCTGAATCCTAACAGTAGCGAGCCTTTCAAACATATCCATCGGAATCGAAAATCGATTTCTAATGCGCCTGCTGCGTCCTTCCTTTGTATCGCTCATTAACGCCAATAATGTTCTGGAATTGCAAAAATCGTAATCGGAAATGGATTGGTAAACGAAATGAAGTTATCGGTTCAGTGACCGGCCGGATATCACGTATCTTGAAAAGTGACATGCCGATTTTTTTGACATTATGTAGGTTTTTCGCCCAGACCCTGACTTAGCACTTAGTTGTACGTGTTGCCTAAACGTCATGAGGCTTGTTATCAATCTTTGGCTCTGACCTGATGCAAAATCTGCTTCTGAGATGGCATTACTGGATGTCTAAGCTGTAAGTTGTATGTGTTGATGATAATTACATTGGGTTCTTGTCTCAAATACACTTAATTGAGATTCAAAGCTAGAAATTAGGTGCGCATCCACTTTTTCTTATCCATTCTGGAAATTACATATACAAATTTGCTGAATTTCAAAAATGAGAGAGATATGAAATAATTATATTCACTGTACATTGTCGAATTACAAGCCATATACATGCTAACAGTAATTACACACAACGCGGGCGCGGTGATGATTTCGTGTAATTCTCCTCAGTTTTTCGTAATTTATAACTTTGAACATAACCTCTCTTCGGAAAGCAAAACATAAAAATAACCCATCGGGCACAGCCAATAGATATACTTCACTGGCAGCATATTCACTAATGATTTTCTCACACAGCAAATATCACTGATTTTATAGACATACGCAGACCAATACACATAATCATCCAGAAGCGATCTTGCTATTCAACCAACTTTCTTCTCAGACATAAAAACTACAGACAAGGACCATTCGGCCTCACAAAACATATGCAACCAATAATGCGTGTAGTTTAGTTGAGTGATTCCTCCTTAGATGGACGTTCACAACGAGCCTGGTGAGCAAAAGTGGAATGGCTGTTTGCGCTCTAAAAACTACCTAGTTTGCAAGATGACATCTTATAGGTTTTTTTTCACGTTTTATAGGTTTTTTTACATGATACCCATGCGGCATCGCTATATCTTTCAATAGATATTTTGAAAAATAAAATATTATCTCTGGTGTAACAGAAAGTTACTGAAATATTTTGACCTTAAACGCCTGATTAGAGACATGCAGTATCAAGGACGAGCTCCTAGCTTACGTCACACAATGGGGTATTTTCCAAAACTGCAATTTTGAATTCGACATAGCGTTTTCACAAAAACTTTTTCTGAAAAAGAGCGATCAGCGAATCTCTTCACTAAGTACTTTAGCTTCATATGTTAAAATTTTTTGTTTGTATCTCGAAGTTATGCGAAAACTACGGATGTACTGTTTTTTTTTACTTGAACAACGACGAAGGCCTATGGTCTAAACACCCATGGTACCATGGGGTTATAGGAGGATACAAGAGAAGAAGGGGGGGGGGGGGGGTACGCCACACGAGGGAACGCGTGTGCTGTAACATGCACACATTCTGGCCCCGCCTTAGAGTTCCGCCAGGTGGTATCTCCACGTTCGAGAGTAAGAGACCGTCAACATCTACGATTGATAAAAGTCGTCTAAAATATACTGGGGCATTTCAAATTTTGATTTCTAAAAATAGGTTAATTGCAGAATAGCGCATAGGTGGTACCTCCACGTTCGAAAGTTAGAGACCGTCAACATATACGATTGATAAAAGTCGTCTAAAATATACTGGGGCATTTCAACTTTTGATTTCTAAAAATAGGTTAATTGTAGGATACCGCATAGGCTGATCTCAGTCATACTTTCCACAAATTTTCAAAATCCGTTCGGCTTTTTTCCAGTACATACACACACAGACATATTTTTTTGTTTATTTTTGACAGTTACTTCATAATCACACACATGGAAGGTAACCAGTATTGGAGAATTGTCAAACCATTACAAATTTCGATGTTCATTATCGTTTCGCAAAGCTTTACAGTAGATCTACTATAGATCTTTAAAGCTCTTCATTTTATACTAAGTGACATATAAATCCGAACACCCAGTTTAAATGGTTTTATTTTAATAAAATTTTGTATAAGTAAATGATAAAAATTTCAAAATGATAGCACTGCTTTAAAGCCCTTTGACCTTTAATAATGTGTGGATGCACCCTGATGTGCTACGCATTCTCCAACGCGCCTAGGCATGCTTCTGATCAGGTGGTCAATGTCCTTCTGTGGTATCTCATTCCAGGCAACCACCAACTCCTCTCGAAGTGCTACTAGAGTCTGAGGAGGACGTTGCAAATTGAGCAATCTCCTACCCATCATATCCCACACGTGCTCAATTGGGGATAAGTCGGGAGATCTTGGTGGCCATGGTAACAATATGACATCATTATGTTGAAAGAAGTCTATTGTGACTCTTGCAACATGTGGTCGGGCATTATCTTGTTGGAAAGTTGGATCTGCCAGGGTGTCAAGATAGGGTAAAAGATGGGGTTCTAGAACTTCGTGGATATAACGCTGCGCAATCATGTTACCTCTGATTAAAGGTGACCTGGAACCATAAGCTATTGCACCCCAAACCATAACTCCAACAGTGTGATGAACATGTCTTTGAACAAAAAACTGTGGATTCCTCCTTTCACCACGTCGCCTTCTAACCCTGGCACGACCATCGTGCATACCTAAACAAAATCGAGACTCGTCACTAAAGACAATACTGTTCCATTCCTGATCCCAGAGTGACCGTTGTCTGCACCACTCAAGGCGATTACGTCGGTGTTCTCGAGTTAAAGGGAGGACCCAGTGTGGCCGGTATGAAAACAAGCCAAAACTTCTCATTCATCGGTAAACATTTCGCATGCCAATAGGTCTTCCGTGTTCTGCAAACCATTCATTTGCAATGGACCTGGTAGAGGAGAAACGGTCCCTTAAGGCCAATAATCTTAGGCGGCGATCTTCACGGTCTGTTGTTCTACGGCGGCGTCCAGTGCCCCTTGCTCTTTGCGTACGGCCTTCTCGAAGCCATGCCTGACAACACCTAACCACAGTGTCTACACTTCTTTGCACTCTAACTGCAATTGCCCGAAAAGAAAGTCCAGCTTCCCGAAGTCCCACTATACGGCCCCTATCAAACTCACTAAGTTGACGAAATCGTACAGGTCTCCGTACTCTAGGCATCGTAACCGATCGTAAAGGATGTCAAGAACCAAAATCCGCCAACGTTGATTCTTTACTGCGGCTGAAATATTCATTTTTAGAGCGTTAGTGAATTAAAAAAAAGCAGTATAAAAACCGGAATGTCCAACTGATAAGGCTGAAAATTTTTCACTTGTTATTTACAGTAAGATAAATACATTCACCAACTTTTATTAAAATAAAACCATTTAAACTGGGTGTTCGGATTTATATGTCTCTTATGTTTTCTTTTGACCATTTTAAAAAAATATAGTCGTGAAGTCATGAGACTAGTTCACCAACCATAAGTGAATTGTAAGTTATCTATGTTAAGAAACTGATTTTAATTGCTCATTTTTGAATATCTGTTGTAACTTTGTTTCAAGAATTTTCACTACAAATCCCTTTATTGTATGTACCTGCTTGCTGCAATCTGTAGGTACTATCGGCAAGAACGGATTAGGTCCCATATCAACACGCCACTCTGGCACAACTCACAATAAAACGCGTCCCCAAAGTTCAATGTTCATATCCTAAAAACGCATACTGCACCACAAGTCACAACAAACCAGTTAAAAACCAGTACCGTCCAAAGTGAAGACCGCGTCGGTACTGCAGGAGATTTCTAATCGGCTGGGCAGTACCTACGCAGGGTCTTTTTGGTCGATTTACGACAAAAGAGCAGTGCCTTGCGTTTTATTTGATTTTCTCTTTCACTTCGGGAACAGTGGCCCGAGCGCCGTCATGGTGCGTCGGTCCATTGTACGTTTTGACATGGGTCGACACCTCTCGCTCTTCGTTCTTGTTGTAGCTTTAGGTAGATTTGAGTGGTACCGGGCCGTTCTACAGTGGCGTAGAATTTAAGGTACTATCATGAACCGACGATAATTTTGTTTTATTTATTTATTTAAACCACCAACAGGTCAACCAATTATTTATTGCTGGGAGAACAAAAGTTTACATAGTACAAACATACAGTAAGGCATATAACATTCAAATTAAATAACAGATTTGCAGCCCTAATAAAAGTCACATTTGTATAGAATATACTCGTA